TTGCACGACTATTTTTACAAAAAAAAAAAACTCTTTTTTGGCATTAAATTGCAATTTTTAATATTTTTTATAAATAAAATTTTAAAACTGAATTAAAAAACATAAATTAAATATAAAATAATACATATAACATATCTAAAACATATTTATACATTATTTATTATTAAAATATATATTTGTACACACATATATACATATATACACATATATGCATATAAATATATAATACATATATACGCTAACATGGCACGGTCTGAATCGTTCAACACAGTCGTCCAACTGGTGACCTGCAACCCAAAGGCAAAAACAATTTGGCCTCCAAGTTAGTTTTTAAGACATTGGCCTGATCGATTCCCAGAACGAACGGTCTGACTCTCTAGGTAAATAGCGGTTCGAAAACATTTGTCTATACTACATTTCAATCCTCAATTTCTTTCATGCACACAAGAATTGTAGCTTTCCATGTCACAGTCCCTTTTTTTGACCTTTTTCTTCTCAAGCATTCTAATCACCCAGAACTGATTCAGTTATATAATATTACTCCTCCATGGATTATATTATGGTAAATCTTTTAAAAATCAGTTTGTGCATCGCAAGGCTCTGTTGAAGCTAGTACATTTTAAATAATCTTTTTACACCAAATGATGACCAATCATAACAGTCAACAAGGTAGCGCACCGGAATTCAACAAAATCCCCAACGATCAAAAAAGTCTGAGAAGAAAAGGTCGTGTGGCTATAGAAGCTTCATATTTCCTAAGACTGTTGGGGAATATTCAATTCTCTGAACCAGCAATTAACTGCAATTCTGCATTAGCGTAATTGTGGGCTCTATCGCTCCCAATATTAACGATTATTGCCGCGAGGAAGACTTCCTCGAGTTTAGAGTTCAGATTGGCCACGCCCTCTCAGCATGCATTAGACCATTTTTATTGAGTTCACGTCTCCGCCCCACAACGCCTTACAATACATTCTTGCCGTGTATTGGAAATATCTCTCGATAATCATATCATTAGTTCTGATATTATCATCAGGCAATATACGGCGGGGATGTGCAATGGAGCATTATGGGGTGGAGATATGAACTCATTTTTATTAGGATGAATATTAATTTACAAGTTGTAAGGTGACAACCGATTGGTTGGTAAGGTCTCTTGCTGGATGTAAATTTGGGATTGAATCATTGAATTTCGCCTATACCTGGGTTGGGAGGGTTATGCCATTATGGGTTGGGGGATGGGCTACCCCGTTATATTGCCCTTGAAGAAAAAAAAAAGAATATTTTCAAATTTCACTACTTGCATAACAATTCCAAATAACTTTCTTGTATTGTCGGAAGCGGATTGATACAACAAAAATATATTATTTTGCATGGATTTTTCATATCTATAAGGCTGCATTCGGTAGCGGAAATGCAAATCTGTATGGTTTATGAAAATGTGAAGTTGGTTTGGTTTCCCATTGATAACTTTTGTATTCTTATTGATACAAATATGAATTCCAAGACTTTAATATGTTTTTTTAGGGAAAATTCCCGATTAGTATCCTATATTTTGGGCCTAGTGCCACTCATGGTTCCCGAACTTTAAAATGCGACATTTCGGTAACTGGACTTTTAAAACATGACAATCCAGTACTTGTTATTAACTAACTGTTAACCAGTGGTTAAATGACATTTGAAAAAGACACAAATGCCCTTCAAGTGTTATTTAATTTTTTTTTATCAACCATCTAAACGTTGACAAAGAATTAATAGTCTCAAATCCTTGCCTCTTCTATTCAAGAAAGTTAGGGTCACCAAAATATCCACTCAAACATGACCTCAACTTTCTTGAATAGAAGAGGCAGGGATTTGAGATTGTTAATTTTTTTGTCAACGTTTAGATGGTTGATAAAGAAAATTAAATAACACTTGAAGGGCATTTATATTTTTTTCAAATGCCACTTAACGGCTGGTTAACAACTACTTAACGGTAGGTACTGGATTGTCATGTTTTAAAAGTTTGGGTACTGAATTGTTGTATTTTAAAGATCGGGGACCAAAGTGGCACTAAGCCCAGCATACAAGGTACTAATCAGAAATTTTCCCTTTTTTTTTACATTGACCAACTTGGAGTGCAAAGTTTGTATCCATTTTTTCAAAGCAAACTTTGCTCTCATTTGAATGCAAATATGTCAGAAAAAACAAATATATTGTCATTTTTAGTATAAAAACATGTTCTTATGAAATACCTTCAAAATTGAATTCCGAAGCTCAAATTCACTTTGGTTCAATAAGTAAAATACCTTCACCTTCACCCAGTCCTCCAGTTCTTCCACCGCAACCTGATCCAAGTCAACTTAATAACAAGCAATTTTCATACCCATCCGGGTCACCCTGACCTTATAGTGTTTAACCTTATACAAATTCAACTGTAATCTTTCAAATGTATATTTTAAATATTCAAAAATCACTAATTTTTAGACAACATGCACTTGCTCCCTAATAAAAACATTAGGGGGCGTTCTCTTTTTGGATTTTGAGAGGGGAGAAGTTGGTCAATGGGATTTTGGTTTTTATTGACCAAGAATTCCATGTTCTTTCTTCAGATTTATGTGGGGATCAGGGAAAGTTTATTTTCCTGGATCTCCTAGGTGTGTAAATAATTTTCCCACCTAGGGGGAAGTTGCCAACACTTGAATGAGACAAAAATACCCCTTTTAATAATGAAATTTTATGGATAAAATGGTCATTGCCTTATTTACATGAGAAATAAAAGAACATGGGTAAATGCACTTGCCCGGATAGGTGTGTCCCAAGAAAAACTTACCCAGTTAACTGCACTTACCCGAGTAAGTAACTTACCAAAAAGTGAACGTGGCCTAAAAACCAAACTTTAAAGTTATGGGGTTGAAAGTCATACAATCATGACCCGAGGGGCTAGACAACGAAACCCAAGCCCAATTTGTGTTGAAGAAACCTCCCCTAAAGTTTGGTAATTGCAATCACTTCTCCTAAACTTTATGACACAGTTGCAAGTAGTCCCCCTCTAATAGAATCTTCTAAAAAAATGAAAATGTTCAAAATACTCATACTGTTATTATTGAGATTGGTTCTACAGAAAATAATATAAACTTCAAAAAATAAATCAATTTTACAACAAAAAAAAAACTGGAAGGATTTGGGATAGTGATTTATGTAGAAAAAAATTGAAAAAATAAACATTTTGATCAAAAGTAATTGCATGGATATTTTGGACATTTTATTGCCTTTTTTTTAGAAGATTTTAACATAAGGGGCCTATTGCATTTATGTCAAAAATTTCAGGAGAGGTGACTGCAATTACCAAACTTCAGGGGAGGTTTAAGCAATGGTCCAAAATTTTAGGGGAGGTTTCAGCAATTTACCCTTTAACCCCAACTGAACCCAAACCCAATTCGGATTGAAGAATTAAACCCTAACCCACACTATTAAGTATACCATTTAGAGAGAGAGAGAGAGATGGGGGAGGTGGATTTCGTATCCAAAGCCACATAGGATCCGTAGCCATCCTGCGGGGATACTCATACCACATTCCAAACTACTATAGTTTGTCGGTTTTGATATTGAAGTTTGAAGTTTGAACTGTGAATGAGTCAGGGCTAGGAATGGCAACGGCACGGGTTCAGGGCAGGGATTACATTCTCCATCCTTGATCCCGACCCCCAAATCACCCCATTCCCGTTCCCAATCCCTAAAGGGGAAAGGAATCCACCTCCATCCCTGACCCTGACGGGAATGCGGAGACACGAATCCCCAATGGGCTAAGAGTGATTACCCAATTCTAGAGAGATTGAGAGAAAGAATGAGAGTGAGGTCGGCGACAAAGAGAGAAATAGAGAGAGATTGAGAGAAAGACTGAGAGTTTGAGATAGAGATAGATAGATAGATAGAGATAGAGATAGAGAGCGAGAGATCGTTGCGAGAGTTGAGGTTGGTGATGAGAGAGAGTCCGACGGGTGACGACGACGATAGACAAAGGTTGAAGGAAGATTAAAGAACCGGAACTCTTCTTTGAGTATCTCTTCTCTGTCACTTGAGTATCTCTTTCCTTTGTCTGATGTCTGACAGGCGAGTGGCAACAGCAACGGTGGTCGATGAATTGGCAACGAAGACGAAGACGGAGGAAGACGAATGCACGAAGCCAGGGTTCAGAGACAGAGTTCTCTCTTCTCTCTGTCAAAGACTCGAAGTCGAAGTGTTTTGTGGTTTAATGTCGAGGGTTTTAGTGTTTTATTGTTTTTTAAGTTTTAATATATATATATATCGGGGCCGGGTCGGGGCAGGGATGGCATTCCCCATCCCCGTCCCTGAACCCGATCGGGGATTCAGGGATCGCCCCATCCCCGACCCGGACCCCACCAAAGTATCCCCATACCCGACCCCATTGGGTCGGGGAGCGCAGGTACCCGTCGGGGACGGGGAAAATTGCCACCCCTTGCCGGGGCCTCACAGAACAGACTACAGAGGTAGCATCCGCCCTACGAATCTCAGTGCTAGTAATGGTCGTGAACCGTGAAGCAGGGGTCAGGGGTGACCCCAATTTACATCCCACAGCCGGTACCATGTCTTTCCGCTATCGATCGATCGATCGATCGAGAGAATGCGTGGTCTTCTTCAAAGTCCAAAATGAAAGGCAATTTCAATGGGAACAAGTCTTCCCGTGGACTCTTGTTAAGAAAACAAAATCTGTATCTGCTGACCATGACCAAGTCATTTCTTCCCTTCCTACATTTTTCTGTTTTTTTCTGCTTCGTAACGTGTTCGGGAGTCTCAAATACTTTGAGTATTTTATTTTTTGTTCAATATTTCTTCGGCAAAGAGACGAGAGAGGCACGAGCGTAGAAAACCCACCACCCAAAAACCAATAGATATTGCCATTTAAGAACTACCCCAACATCGATCCTTCAGTCATCGATACACTAAAACAGCCCGAGGAAAGGTTACGAAAAACTAGTATTTCTGCTGCTGCTGCTGCAACGATGGACGACAAGACCTTGTCTTTAATCATCCATGGATGCAATTTAGCCAAGGACCTTGAGTCAAATCTTCCAACCTTATCAAACCAACCCAGTCTCCTCATTAACTCTTGTGAGGAAATCATGAACGTCTTCAAAAGCGCAACCGGTCGACTGCGCAGTCACAATAACCCATCTTCCAATTCCCAGACAACCTTCAACCGGGAGCCTCAGCCTTCTGCAATTGATGCAGCTGTGCAGGAATTGATCGGGACTGGTTACACACAAGCCATGGATCTCCTCCAGGCTCAATTGTTGGCTGATCATGACAGAAAACCGTTTGACGCGCTTGTGTTTCCCGGTAGTAGGACCACCACCACGACGGAGATGTCCGGATTGGGCCTGGAGATTCCGGTGGCTACCTCTGGCGTAAACGTCATTGGATTAGGTGCAACACATACAGACGGAGCAGAGGGTTCCTCACTGTCGAAAAGCGGCGGAGAGTTTCAGCTGGTGCCGGAGGGGTCGAACTCTGGAAAGAGTCGAGCGGTGCAAAGATCACGAAAGAGGTAATGGACTCCCAAATTTCATTTACAAAGGCGTGCGCCTGATTGTTAAACTGATTTATATAGTTTTAGATGGGACCCATTAAGGGGACACGTGGTAAGTTATGGGTCCCATACCCGTGTAAGAGTCCTGTGGAAAGGCAACAAACTAGCATGAGAGAAAGGAGACATGTATATTCAATAATTCAGACTCCGGGGAATTTAACGGTTGTTTATTTGATTGATCGATTTCAGGAAGGATGGATCGGAGACAAAATACGAAGCTGCACCTCTTATGGGAAATACGGAGATTCCACCTGATGACGGTTACACATGGAGAAAGTATGGACAGAAAGAAATACTCGGTTCAAAGTTTCCGAGGTGAATTTACTGCAACTCATATAGATTAAACTATGGATAGGATACACTGGGTTTATCATATTCATGCATGTACATGATACGCTATAATTCTATGTGTATCCTTATTGGCATGATATATTACTGTGTATCATACTCTATCAGTGGATATGACCAAATATTCATCGATATGGAGACATGTATCGGCATGATACATTACTTTGTATCATACTGTATCGGTGGATATGGCCAAATATTCATCAGTACGGAGGGATATTGGACCCTAATTTGATGATATATTCAAACATTGATTTAAGATTTAATTTTTTCTAAAAAATTAATAAGAACTGAAAATTATAAAACTAATTTATTTTATTTATCTTAAATAATTTCTATATTTTATTTACATATAAATTATATATTAAAAAAAAACATAATTATTATTTGAAAATATAGATTTATTATCTATATAAAATACTAAATAAATAAAATTCCCAAAAAAATAATAAAAATTGTAAATTATAATTATAAAAATTGAACTAAATAAATTAGGAGTGAATTTTCCCTAGAATTTTACTAAAAAAATTTCCCTAGAATTTTACTAAATAAAATTTTTCCAAACATTAATAAAAACTGAAATTTATAATTAAAAAAACTGAAATATAGTGATAATTATTGTATGATATGTACATCTTCTAGAATCCAAGTATTGTTGATTGTAATGTTTCTCTTCATATAACCTATTATAGTGTGCATTTTGTCATGTATTTATACCTCATTCATAGTTAATTCACCTATTAACATATTTATATGATTTGTATGCATTTCCCTAATGTATCCAAGCATTTTCATATTTTTCGTTCATACCTATGTGTTTCCAAAGCGTATTTGCATCTGAATTTGTATCAAAGCTGTTGAATACAATATTTAATACCGATAATCCTTACATATATACTACTCTTGAAAATGGGATTTGGAAATGAGGTTTAGGTTTTGGTATCTCTTTGTTACGAGGGAAATATATACAATTTGAATTACTACATTTAAGTTTATTTTATTGAATTCAAATCTCCTAATAAAAATCTCTTTGAACATATTCCAACATGATCTATGCTAGTACATTTCAAACACATCCCATCAATATTTGAGATGTGCAGGCATAGCTCATATTAATTGGAATATGTTGGCAGGATTTTTTATTGGGAGGAGATCCAGACTTTATTCTATTCCCTCTCATTAGGTCTTAAAATTAAGTTACTATTAACTCACATTCCCTCCCATTAAATTTTATAGTGGATGCATATTAAATAAATGTTTTTCGTGTTTTGCTAAAACACCTTTACTTTTTTCTTATTTGAAATTGGGACATTTTTAAATGTGAGGGAAGAAAATATAATTTGAATTACTTTTCACTTTATTTGATTCACTCTCATTAAGTTCTATATTTAATTGTGAATTCTTATTCTCTTCCATTGGATCTTTTATTCTCAATTTCATTTAAATTTTATTAATTATATCTATATCTAATAATTTTAACAATGCAAAACCAATGTGTTTAAAATTTGCATGAAAAGAGACACAATTCTTATGTTTGGGCAGTGGTTAATTATTTCAACCAGCCATGTCATTGATCGACCTATAGTGTTATGGTTAAATAATAAAATTTAAAAAATAAACAAAAATAAGTATGATAAATAAGTAAGTACTAACACATAAACCGAACTGTTTTCCTATTCAAGTGGTGGATCAATGTTTCAATCCTTTTAGTTTTAGGTCAAATGGATCAGCCTGTGATATCATTTTGACTGCATCTTGAATATTATATATTTATCATATTAAACAAAAATAAGTATAGTAAATAAGAGTTCTTTTTATTAACAATAAAAAATGAAATAAAAACAATTAAACTAGATTAATTGAAAATAAAACTGTTTTTTCCGTTTAAGTAATGGTCAACGATTCAACCATTTTTCCATTAAGGCCAATTAAATTGCTCCATTGATGTCAATTTCCCTCCCAAGCACAAAAAATGAAAGGAATAAACAAATGGATGCGATGAACGTTGACCGAGTTTCCTTGTCATAAGGCATCACGACGAGAAAACTTTGACTGTCCACGCTGGATTGTCTCAAGTTAGAAGTCTCAACCCCGTTTGTTCAGTCTTCAGGCGAGGTGACGTGGACGTCCACTCGGCCCACTCGAGTCATAAACTCATAATTAAGGTGATGGCCATATCTGCCCGGCCAGAGCCCAGCATCGGTCAAGGGTCTGACCTCTTACCACCGTCATTAATTGGACGTGGTCTGAGTATCGAGTTAAGAGCCTGTTTGGCATATTTTTTCATGTGGTCTTTTGGTTATTTATAAGCCGAGCAGATCAGTTTTTGGTTTATTTCCGTTTGGTTTGTGAAAGATTTAGTCATCAGGAGCTAGAGATCGAAAAAACACAAAAAGCTCATTTTAGGCTGATTTTGAGAAGCTCTAAATGAAGCTTTTTGAATGGAAAGACATGAAAAGATGCATAAAAAAACGTGCATCTACCAAATTAACTTCGGGCTGCTCAGATCTTCATGCAAAAGCTCAATACGTTTTTTAACTGTCGGAACTACTGAAAGATCTTTCAAAAAAGACTTGCCAAACTAACTGTTTAGAAGCCCGGTAGTTTGTGTTTTCATTTTTTAACCATTGAAAGATTGTATTTCAAAAAGATGTAAGAAATTAGATTCAAACTTATTTTGGAAAATTGTAAATAGAATTTCTCGCTTTTTTTGTTTTATCTTTGTACAAAAAAAAGTCCAGAAATATGCACCTCCCACCAAACCATCTATGAACTGACAAGATCTTTTTATAAAAGCCTATTACATCTTTTGATTATTGTAGCCCATGCATGTGTAGCACGTATCAGAACTTAAGCCAGAAATTTTGAGTTGTGTAGAGATGAAAGGATGGATGAGATCAGAGTCAGAGCTCTTACGTAGTTTTCTACTTGTTCCTTATTGTAGGAGCTACTACAGGTGCACCCACAAGAACTTCTACGGGTGCGATGCAAAGAAGCAAGTTCAACGATTGGACGACGACCCGAAAACCTTCGAGATCATCTACTATGGCGTCCATACATGTCACATGTCATCCACCGCTCCATCTGCGCGGCCTTCGGCTGACATCGACCGAGAGGTGCTTGAATCAACTAAACCATCACCTTCTTCTTCACTTTCAATTCCTCTAAGTAGATGGCTTTCTATGGATCTCGAGGAAACGACCAGCGGAAAAGGCACTAACATCCCTATGGATTTGCAGGTGACAACAATGTATAGGGACTTTGACATGGGTAGTTCCGGTGCAGTTGTGCCGGACGGCCAACATGCGGCGCCGGAGTGTCCAGTGGTGGATCTTGCCGATGCCATGTTCAATTCTCGGACCTTTAGCAATATCTTGGATTTCATCTTCCCTTCCATCGACGAGAATTAATTGATAAGAGCAGCAGATCGGTATGGAGACAACGAACACTTCTTCCTTCTGCTTAATTTTCGATAGGAGACTTAATTGATTATTGTTAGAATGTTGAGGATGGAGAACCAATTTTGACAGGCCAAACCGACTCCCAAAATGAACTGATGAGCACGATTTTGAGAGTTGCATGAATCATTCATTTTTTTTTTTTCTACATGTAGTTGGAAACCCAGTATTCATTTGGCCATTGCTTATATGCCTTCAGTAGAATTTGATAGATTAAGACTCTAGAATAACTACTATAACTCATTCTTTTATCGGGTCCATTTCCTGATGAAATAGTCTCAAAGGGCAAAAAATGTAGCGATTTGCATTGATTCATCATTAGCATTCAGAGTTCATCAAATCTAGATTGATCTGGGATTTGTGTCTATTTTGGACAACATTAAATACCATTAATAAATTAAACTAAAAAAATGATCAAATTAAATATTATAAATCAATTGAACTAAAAATGAGAATTTGATATTATATGTCACAAACAAATGAATTGAAAATAAATTCTACGGGACCTGAACCTATGGGTACATAGAATTAAATTATTTCTTGTAGATATATGAGTATTTGTGGGATAGGGGCAATATCTATATTTCATCCAGCTAAAAATAGATTGTATTCTGGTCACCCTGGATTAAATTCGAATTCAAATTCTAAGTATTAACAGACGAGTTTTATCCCAATAAGTACTTACAACTGTTTGGTGAAAAAGTACTTATTTCAAATGGGATAGTATAGGTATTTTGAAAATTACACGGTGAGTTAAGATGGGCCAGAAATACAATAAGCACTTTTCAAAAAGCACTTGCAAAAAAAGCCAAAATTTTGAGCCTATTCAAAGGGGGGCTTATTTTCTTGAAATATGCTTATTCAGCTTATTTACCAAGCACATATAAGTGCTTATTGATGTGGCCTGGCCTCAAATAAGCACTCCTTCCAGTAAATGCTTAAAATTAAGCACTCCCAAACGGGGGCTCAATATCGTTTTTAAACACTAGAGGCAATTTTAGGCAATTGCAGAAGATTATCGAAATAAAAATATGGCTTAATTTCATGTGTATTTAATTATTTCGATTGTGATTTCAGAATATATAACAATCCACTCATTTTGACAAAAAATCAGGCTTATTATTTAAATTAATAAAATATAAATGGGAGAATGACCAATAACCCTAGGGTCAGAATTTGTAAGCTTAAAGCACATCTGGGGTAGGTACCAACTTGGAATTGATGCTAATTCACAGACAGGTATAAGTGCATAGAGTGTGGTTTTTAGACTTTCTAAATATTTTTAATTTTACAGTGGGAATCAGAAATCTGCATTATAAATACAAATTTATAAAGAGTGCAAAATAAAATCGTAAAAAAGATAATAATTTTGTCAGCAATTAAAACGATTAGGACTGACTGTGAACAAGCCAGGTTTCTTAGATATATTCAGGCTGTGACAACTGACAAGACTGCCGAAAACAAGCTTGTCTATTATTAGTTATTACTTAAAGATTCAAGCCCAATCATAGAAATCTTAAGGCCCACTAGTTAAAGCCCAAGCATGAAAATAACTAAAATCAGCGCCCACATATATTCATTATTCACCACAGAAGGTAGACCAGTGAAGAAAAAAAAAAGGAAAACTTAGCAGATTCAACTACTAACTGACAACGTTAATAGAGAACAAAAGTTGCAGTTACCTACAAAATTAGATTGACTAACCAGGAATTGGATTTGGTATTCGGGCTTGCAACTTGAGAGGATTGGGTTTGGCCCATGGTCCACGTAATCCAATCCTAAGTTGAGAGTTAAACCACCAACCCAGTCCGGTATCGTACATGGTCAAATCTAAGGTTGAAAGTATCGATACATATGTTTGATATTATATTTTTTTATTTCAATACATCTATTTACAGGTGTTTTGGGTCCCATTTATATTAATAAAAAACCCCTTACAAAACATCTCCAAAAATCAAATTTTGAAAAAAGAAACTAAAAAAAATAATTAAGCGAAATTCTTTTAATACTGATATATGTATCAATACTTTGAACCTTGGTCAAATCTGACCTACGCCTCATTTAGGTATCTGGTATCTATGAGAAGCAGCTCGCATTCATTCTGAACAATTTAACTGCTAGACTCAATAGCCCAACCTAACTCAGATCAGACTAATCTCTATCAACTTGAGACTAAACCGAGTGAAAGGTTGCTCTTCCAAGCCCAATCCATGAAATGATGGAATTGGGTCGACCAAAATCTTGGGTTGCGTGGCCCAACTTGCACAGTTGCACCAATACTATTATTTGACATGGGCTTATTATCAAGTCATTTTATAATTCAAGAAAAAGACCCATATCCAGTAACATCCTGATGGTGAATCCAATTGTACTTATTACTATTACTAATTTTACTTTTCATGTTCTAAGCAAAGTTACAAAGTCATCATCATTATCTCATCTCTGTACCAACTATATAAGTTTGGTTATATGAATGCTGTTTCACCATTTTATTCAATTTAGTACCGTATCCATTGTTAAATTATAAATGCATAAATTATTTCTTATTACTTCAACCGATGCCATTTTTCTGGTTTGTCCTTTGGCCCTAGTACCCTTCAACTTGTAACAGATTGTTTCTTTTCACCGCTGTCTCTATCATTCTATGCATATGATGAAAACATTTTCGTCTAATTTCATTTTATCATCTATTGTAACTATTTTTAGGATGATGTTTTGATTATCTAGATTCAAGTAATAATTCTAGGGCAAGAAAAAATAATACAATTTTCACTATTATTGATATTACACTTGATGAGGGAAAATTTGGTTCGTCAAATGATGTGACGACACGTGGAGTGGCAAAACGATGTGGTGATACCTCATCGAACTCGGTGACCTCAGCGGTCCCAGTTACCTCGCGCACCTTGGGTCACCTAGTTAGACCAAGGCTCAAGTAGCTCAACTATATGCATCGATATGCCAAGGTGCCACGTAACCTCTATTATAGAAGCAAACCAACTGTCTTAGGTCTCCTCGGGTCATGACACCATGTCAACGGAGTTCATCTTCTCCACACCCGATTCAGACGAACCTGGATAAGCTTTATCAGTTTATGCGGAGTCCATCTTCGGATGTAAAACCAACTCTAGACAAGACGAGCCAAGGATCTTGGACATGCATCGTGAGGTCCACGTCAATTCACCTATATAAAGGCCTTGCTTCTAGCCTTACAAGGTATGCGTGACTCAACTCTCTGAATTCTCTTACAATCTAGCTTTCAGCTCTCTCAAAATCTCCAAATCACTAACTTAAGCATTAGAGTGCCCATACTGGGTAAAGCACCCTGGACACTCTGACATACTTGTCTTGCAGCTTGACTAGGCGGCCTCACTAGCCTGACGTCCGAGTTGTCCTCTAGTAGGGGGTACCAGATCGTGCACCATCAACTTTATAACCTATAATTGGCCATAAATGTGTAGTATTACATGGCAAAAACATAGGGATGCAAATGGATTGTATCAGATTCGGATCAGGGTATATTCAAATCTAATTTGACACTGTTTATGTCGGATCCGATGAGATCTGATAGGACTCGATTTGAATTCGAATCCTATTGGTAAGTGAGATCTTCATATCTGATCCAATCCGATTTGTATTCTTTAAAAATTAATAAATTATTAAAAGAAAAATAAAATATACTAATTTAAATAAAGTAAAAACAAAAAATACAAGTATTTTTTTTAATTATTTTCATCATATATATACATATTTTTTTATAAAAAATAAATAATAACAAATTTTTAAAAATATATTTATAAATAAATAAATAACATATATAATATATATCGGATCGGATTTTCTCAGATCAGATAGGGGGATCCAAATCTGGTCTAATTTCTGATTGGATCCTATTATCCAATCCGATCCAAAGATCCAATCAAGATGATCAAATTCGACCAAATGAGATCTAATCTCTAATCGTATGATCCGATCCATTTCCACCCCTACAAACAAATCGGATCATCATCCGATCCATTAGCACCCCTACACACACACGGGATGTCTTCAGAATTCCTAATATATTTAGACCCTAGTTGTAATTATAGAAATTCTTTTCCTAAAGCTCAATTTGTTTATTTGTAACAGGGTTGAACTTTCTTTTTTCAATCGGTAAAATCTAAAATACATGTTTATCCTTTACAGCCAAAAAATTTGTTTCTTTGCCATTTATCTAAAGAAAAACAGTGCCTAGCAAAATTTCATCTACAACAGAAGCAAATAAGGAATTATGAGTAAAGGGCCCAGCCATCTTGAAAAATAAATAAAGACAAACATAAGAAATTATTAAATTAAGACAGACTAGCAAGCAGAAGGAGATTGGTTTGAAAACTGGAACCCAGCTTTGACGTACCAGCACACAGACTGTCTAAGATATGAAACGAAAGAGAAATCTTGTAAGAGGGTCATTTAGCTAGTAACCCTTTTATGGTTTTACATATTTACTATAAAAATTACCTTTACTTCATATTATCGAAAATACCCGCAATAGTTTGCAAACTCTATCAGTTTCTAAAAAAATGGAGAATGAGATGCATTTCAAACAAGTCCCCATCTCTGAGAAACCTTTCTGCTCATTCAAAGTTTATTCAATAAACCAGCCGTATAGAACCTCAGTTTACTTCCAGCCTCCAAGAAACTGGATGAATGGTAGCTATTACCGATTCCATTCTTTCCTTCAAATATTCTTCAATATTGCTTATTTCTTTTCTTCTGAATTCTTTGCTCATTTTTTTTCTGGCTTTTTGACATGTTAATGAATGGAAAACGACCATCTTCGTTCTTGGATGCACAGATTCTCACGGCTATCTTGGTTCTTGCACAGTAAACATCCCCATCTTGGTTTAAGGAATCTACGACTGTGAAACTGCAATCCTCCGATTTCTTCATACTTCATTGTCAGAGATCCGTTG